CGAAGGGGGGAGGGGGCGGGGCTGGAGCTAGGAGGGTGGCTTGTGGGTTACAGTGCCCGCAGCACACGCATGGGGACCTGAGTTTGGATTCCCAGCACCTTCTCAAAAACCAGACAAGGCGACCTGTGTCTGCAACCTCAGAACTGGTGCAGATGGGGAATGGAGGCCGGGATCCCAGGCCAGACAGTCTAGCTGAAGCAGCCTGCTCCAGGCTCAGTGAGACTGCCTCAGAAAGTTAGATGGAGAGGGACAGAGAAAGACTCCCAGTGTCAAGTTCCGGAGTCCACACATGCATGCGTGGGTAACTACACACATGTGCAAACACTATGTCCACACACACACACACACACACACACACACACACACACACACATATACACACATACAGGTCCTCATTGCTAAACAAAACAAAATATTTTCATTCTTAATGTTGGATATAATAATTAAATACTAATTTGAGCTGAGGACCTATTTGCCTGAAAGTGTAAAAAAAAAAAATAAAAATAAAAAGCTATTAAGTAAGTAGTGTTGGGTCCTCTGGAACTTTAACAACAGGTGACTGTGAGCCACCATGGGGATTCTGGGAACTGAACCCAGTCCTCTGCTGAGGCACCCGGGGCTCTGTACCACAGCACCAACTCTCCAGTTCCCTTTCAGCTTATTTTCAAGTGGAAAATGTCCATGTTGAATATCAATGCTGTGTATGTTCAGATCATGAGAACAGGGGCCCAATGGTTGAAATAATAATTTTTGTTTAAGAATAAATTTTCTCTAAAAATAAATGGGTTTTCATTGCTGGGTGTGGTGGCACATTCCTGGAATCCCAGCACTGGAGATGTGGAGGCAGGCAGATCTCTGTGAGTTGCAGGCCAGCCTGGTCTACAGAGCGTTCCAGGTCAACCTGGACGACACAGTGAGGCTGAGTCTCAAAGAAAACGTTGAAAAGATATTTTATGTAAGTAATACGTGTGAAGTGTTTCAGATCCAAAAGAATCTGGAAAAGCCCACACAGGCAAGTCTCTCTGTCCTGTGTACCCACCAGCTCACAGATCGCCCTGTGGTGGTCGCTTAGACTATTGTTTTTCCTTCTGGGGTTTTGGTCAGTCCCACATAAGGGGAGACTATGTTCTGTCCATCCCAAGCTTTTTCACCCTCAGCACACCAGCACCGCAGTTTGCAAACACACTTCTCATCCTTTGTCTCAGCCATTTCTTTTTCTTCTTCCTTCCTTCCTTCCTTCCTTCCTTCCTTCCTT